TAAAGAATTTGACGTGGATTTCCACTGTCACGAAATTTTTACTTGCGTACGCGCGCAAACTAAATAGAGGCACTGTATCGAAGGTCGCGCCTAAACATAAAAGTTGAGCTTGACCAGAAACCACATACATCTAGCCGGATTTTAAAAGTGCAGCAATTGAAAATTGGGGCCATGAAAAAATTACGGCCAAAACGCATTCCAAGTTTCTTGAGCCTGAAAATCACACTACAGAGGGAACTGGACAGGAAAAATGGAGAGAGGAGGAAAAGGAAACACTGAGGAAAGGAGGAGAAGAAAATGGCAGCGCTCTTAGATTTTATGTTATGGTTAGTTTGGAGGTTTTGATCGACACAAAAGGATGAAAGGGGGCTATTATAGCACAGCGACCTCTTCATGATCCAAAAACAACGTAGTCTCCCAAAGTCCAATCTGAAATGAGGGGTGCTCTACATAAAATGATTACTAAGTAATGTTCATTTCTCGTCACGGTTCTATCAGTTGAAAGTAATCAAGATATCCCTCATATATTGTCAAAAGACAGGCTTGAAATTTACAAGAATCAGGCTCTGTAGTCACGTGACTTGGTATGACCGTCCTCACCTCCCACTTGTTTTCTTTTCCATCGTAAGATTCGACAGTCAGCGCTGCTTTAGTGGTCTCGCGATCGTTCTTACTCAACCCACCCAATATATACAGTGTCTCAAGATGACACACCATGCTGGCTTCTGAACGAGGGACATTCAAGCTTGCTATAAACTGCCACTCATCTCTTGCAATACTGTACACCTCACAGGATTGCAAGAAGCAGTCTCCATTTATACCGCCAGCAATATAAATATTCTCCTGATGAGCCGCANACAGGCTTGAAATTTACAAGAATCAGGCTCTGTAGTCACGTGACTTGGTATGACCGTCCTCACCTCCCACTTGTTTTCTTTTCCATCGTAAGATTCGACAGTCAGCGCTGCTTTAGTGGTCTCGCGATCGTTCTTACTCAACCCACCCAATATATACAGTGTCTCAAGATGACACACCATGCTGGCTTCTGAACGAGGGACATTCAAGCTTGCTATAAACTGCCACTCATCTCTTGCAATACTGTACACCTCACAGGATTGCAAGAAGCAGTCTCCATTTATACCGCCAGCAATATAAATATTCTGCTGATGAGCCGCACCAAAGGCGTTGTATCTCCCATACTGCATATCTTTCATCTTTTCCCATTTACTTTTCGTTGTGTCAAATCTACTGACTTCTGCAGAAAACGGCTTTCCACCCATAAAATACAGGCATTTTTGGTGACCTACCATGCATGAATTATTGCTGATGTCTGCTTCTGATAAAGGAACTGCTTCCCATGAATTGGAGTCGAGATTGTATTTGCATATGAACTTTTGCTGACTACTAGACCTTGATCCTACACCATAAACAACATCTCCTAGCAGAGCAGCCCTCTCGGGGATTAGTTTGCTGGGCAATGGCAACGAAACCCATTGATCAAACCTGGGACTCCACCGTAGGAAACATGAACCAAACAGCTTAAGACTAAAATTATATAAACTGCCATTCAAGGACAACAACTGTCGAGGTTCTTTAAAGTTGTATTTTGATGAGGCTATGCTGTACCACTGTTTCTTTTGCGCCCCGGGAAGATAGCAGAAAGTGTCATCTCCTCCGCTGGTTGCAATAACAGGCAGAAATAACTTTTCACATGTCCCCATTCGATTTCCTTTATCGAAATCAACCCATGCTCTGACAAGTTCCAAAATTTCATTTTCTTTAAGTTTAAATAACCCGTCTCGTCTAATCCACTTTTTTACTTCCTGCAATGAGAGATTCAGGAAAGTTTCTGTAGTTGCCACAGCAGCAAAGTTTGAGTGAATGAATCGAGACGTTTCGTCAAGAAGTTTCTCAAAGTGATTCCGCTTGGCAAAATAGAAGGTTGAAATCGAATTAGAGAGAGTCAGGCTTCTTGTTAAAGAATCCAGCACCATGTTCTGAAAATCTGGAAGGAGAAGATAGTCCGCTGCTTTAATCAGATCCTCAGCATTCGTCAGAGAAACTTCAAGGCAACCCGTGTAAATGAAATCCAGGATGTTTTTCATAATTGACTCAGAGAACTGTTCCAGGCGAATAACTCCTTCCCTGCTTTCCTTCATGTCGGTTTTTAGAAGCCTGTCGAAAAAAGGACTTGCCTCTGATAGAACGCTTCTGTGGGCTTTGAACTCCTTTCCACCATTAGCCACCAGCGTTAAGTCGCACGGACAGTTTGTTAGAATTGGATGCTGCATCTCCATTTGATTTATTTTTAAGCGCCGCTGGTTAGCGCATCCAGGCAGTTTATTAATAGATGACTCTACTTCCGTTTAGGGCAGATTTCCGACTTGAAAGCGAAAGTGTGAGATAGTTATTGTTTAACTGACCTTTTGACCTCCAGCGAATTTCTTGCCCGTCGTTTTAATGCCTAGCCTGCGAAGCGCAGACGCATTTCCAGTCGTCGGGAGAGAAGCGACGACCGGAAATGCGTCTGCGCTTCGCAGGCTATTTAATCCCTAGCTCTCTTCAGGCAACCAGACTTTGCGATCTCAGCCGCATCCCGGACGTCAGAGATGGGCAGAGAAATGGATCCATCCGTGCGCTAATCTCCCCATGGGAAAGTTTGAAGAACGGACTCCAGCAGGTGCTACCCGCTCTTCCCTTATATGGTGGCGTTTCATCGACGACATCTTTCTTCTAAGGGCACAAGGCGAGGTTAAATTAAATGAATTTATCAATCAAATTTACCCCCAGGGGCCCCACTCACATATTTTAATGACGGGGAGGTCCGACAGAGGTTCATATTTTATACCCAAAAAAATCCCAACTCCAGAGTTTGTCTATCCAAAAGAATCCCTACTTTTTTTAGCATACCCCAAAAAATCCCTCAGTGTTTTTGCATCAGCAAATTTTGTTATTCATCTTCTGGAAAAGCTAAAACATGCCAACTTCAACTTTGGTTTTGGTCAAAAACAAAACTATACAAAAACAAATACAAAAAGCTCACGTGACTGTTATAGTGTGTCTCTTCATCCGGTAATTACTTTTCACATAGATTACAATCTCAGAATATCCCGTAATACCACACAAGCAGTAAATTGCGCTTATGTTATTGTTGATTTGAGCTGATGAAAAATACAATACCCAAAAAAAATCCCTGTGTTGTTTTCGCGACCCAAACAAATCCCGGCGTCTTTCATAGACCCAAAAAAATCCCCTTTGGCCAAAATGTCAGACCCAAAAAAATCCTTCGGACCCCCCCGTCATTAAAATATGTGAGTGGGGCCCCTGGGAATTTACCAGTTCACTGTTTTCGAATATTAAGGCAACGACTCGTAACAAACTGATCTTTATGTCAAGCCTACAGATAATTAAAAGCACCAATATTTCCTTAAATCATCCTGCTACCCATCCCACAGTAAAAAAATATCCCTTCCAACATGTCCTTACGATTAAGAAGAACTTGGTCTAACGACAATTTCTTCATTAACTGTCCGAACGCACTCACCACTCAACTCAGGTTTGTCTCTTTAGCAGAGGATATAAACACCGTTTCATCCAGCAAGAAATAAATGAAGCTAAAAGCGTCTAATTCCATGCAGCCACGCCCTCGAAACACCCACCAAAGAAAAGATGTTACATTTAATTTAATTTGTAATAAAACTCAATACAGCCCTCCCAAACATCAACCGGATAATTTCTGGCAAACTAAGCGTCCGTCATTCTTCACATTGATGCAAATAACACTAAGCACTCCCTTCTGCTCCTCTCATATCCATAATTTTTTTAAAATTTCTTTTAGAAACTGATTGTAACCGTTAATTCTATTTTTGGTGAGGGTCGGTTTTGCCTAACCAAAATATTGGGCAAATGAACTACCCATCCAGTCATTCATAGCTGTCCGATCAGCCTAGCTTGCCTTAAATTTATAATAAGAATTGTTCACTGGCTTACGCTACAATAGACGTTACAACTTTTTTGCTGGAAAGGCAAGTTCCCGAAAAGTGGCTACGCATCAGTTTCCCGTTTCCCGCCCGAAAATCTCCTTTCTGATCCACTAGCATTCTCGAGGGTGTCAACGAGGTGGTAGCTTTGACGGTTGACGGTTATCAAGCGGAAATTTAGTTCAAAAGTTAAGGCAAATAATTATGTCAATTATGTTCTGTATGAATTAACTAGAATGAATAACTGTTGTGTTTGGAGGTCATTGTCTTGGCCTTTCACTTATAAAATTTCGAATATTTTCAGATATGAGCTGCTTTTAAGGTCTCGAAATGTCTCCAGAGAGTGTTTTTGAGAACATGGGATCTGGTTTTTCCAGTTTAGAGATTCTCTAGGACCTATTAAAATCCCTGAAATGGTGAGAATAAGCTGAAATAGTGAGATTTGAAATACCTTGACAATTTTTAACGGTTAATGTTAATCTGAAACGCCGGATAGTGTTCACGTTTCCAAAAGCGAAACTAGCAAAAAAACAAACAAAAAACAAGCAATTACAAAGACAACAAAGTTTTACTTGCCCTCGTGAATAAATTAAAACCTTAGTCTCCTACGCAGTGCTTTTTTGTCTCGCAAAACTGTGTAGTTGTTGCACATGTTTCATTAAATTTTTATTCTTATTTTAATTGCCAGTCATATGTTATGTTCACCTTGTATCTCTGCACTCATTTTTCTTTTTTTTTGGCTTCTATTCGTTGAAGATGCCAAATATACTTTACCATTTGATTTTTCTTTATACGTTTTCGTCTCAGTCTTCTTGCCGTCGGCTCCTGTTGAAGTATAAAGGATCAGTCTACTGTTTTTCTACATAGACACCACTCTCGTTTAGAGTCTTCACCTGACAGCCAATCCCACTGTTTACTTGTTCGACGATATGCAACTTCTTGACTTGAAAGTACCCTGTTTGTGGTGGTATCCTGTGGTGCTATGGTACGCGGAGATCTGGGCAAGAGCTGTAAATCAAGATGGCGGCTGCTTGGCGATCAAACCTTGGTAAATACGTGAGGGAAATCCGTATTCATTTGTGTCAAAAGTCACAGAGCAGTCAAGGGACGAGGTAAGCAATACGAATATCAGTTAATAATCATAGGACAATCGTATAGTATGTTTTGATATACTTTCTTCGGTATTTCGTTTTTACAATTTCTGAGGCGAACAGTCGTCACAAGAAGTCTTGCAATATTTAGTTTATTAGCTTGTGTAGCTGATATAAAGGCCAAGAAAACATCGCTTTAATGGTCTTCCAGTAGGGAAAACTTGAAAAAAATCTTTTTAGTCACAAGAAAAGTCTCCTGCAGGTTAACTGATTTGTTTTCCAAAATGTGGGATATCAAAACCAAGAATGGAAAAAAGTGTGTGTCTGATCTGTGTCTAAGAAAACTGGAATGAGATTAGGACTAAAAGGAAGAATGTGAGTATTTTCTCCAATTACAATTGTTCACCAAACGTACCTCAGATGGAATATGTTTGAATAGACTTTCATTTTTCAACTGACTACCTTAGCAAATGTTCATTTATTTCCAATCTAATCCGTTCCTTGGTGCTCATGTTCCTTCCCAATCCTTTCCCAGTGCATCTCTCACTCTTCGTCTTTTCTCTTTGTATCAAAAGCCCTAACTTCATATATGAACTTATAGGAAAGAAAACAGGGATGGCAGACCCCCCCCCCCCCCCCCCCCCTCTTTTCCCACAAAAAAAAAACCCTCCACAGGGGGGACACCCACCCCCCCCCCCCCACCAGACCCCTCACCCCCCCCCCCCCCCCACCCCCCCCCCCCCCCCCCCCCCCCCAAACCAATCCCCCCCCCCCCCCGCTAACACTCCAACTAAACTTTATATTTCGCGCTCCTGCCTGTCCCCGCTCCACTTTCCGCCTGTATGTCTTTTCTTTACTCAAATAATCCCCCGCTACCTATCGAGAATCTAATGAAGAAAAAAGGGGTGGCGCCACCCCCCCCCCCCCCCCCTTGCTTTTTGCAAACAAATAAATACTCGCTAAGGTGGGAGTCTCCCTGGCCTGCCCACTGCAAATCACTATCAGCCTCCCTCTCCCCTAATCTCCCCCCTCCCCTGTACACCTGGAAAAATGTTCCGCCATGCTCTGATAATAGATTCAATCAAATTGCATTGACTGGGCATTACAAGTGTTGATGTTTATGTGTCTACTAAAGGCTAAAGTTCAAGCGTTCTCCATTTTGTTTCAGTGATTGGTAACATAAAAATAAATAAATAAAAAACAAGCAAACAATGTTTTCAAGCTGGAACTTTTTCTTTTGTTCTGCAGGGACTTTTTGGAAAAATACTACATTGGCTTAAAGAAGGATAATCCTAAGCTCCCCATCCTTGTGAGAGAATGCAGTGGCATTCAGCCAAAGATGTATGCAAGATATGGTAAGGGCTAAAACCATCACAGGCAGCTCATGAAGCTCATACCCACAGTTACCAGACTCTGTGGGGGTATTTCTGGAAGTTGTGATGATCCCTATTGACAAAACCACAAATTTGGAGATTGAGATGTTGATTTGCAAGCAAAGACTTTGTTGAAAAAAAAATGACGATTGAAATAAAAGCAATGTCAGCAGGTACCCATGGAGAGGCCCAGTTATCATATAATAATTTTATGTCTCAGGTTATCACTGAGATTGTTGGAATACCAATATATCCATTTTCTTTTGAAGTATATTAGTTTTTGAAGATCCCTTGGAAAAATCCGTTATTTAAACGTGTACTGGTAAACTGTTCTAAATTGTTCTTCTGAAGTGAGAGTATTTAGCATATCCCTGACTATATTTATCTGTACCCTTTTTGTCTACAATTATTTTATTCTAGCTGTTGGCTGGTATAGCTATGTAACTTGCTGGTGTACATAGATAAGTGGTTATGCTGCAAACATTTGTATAGGCCATTTCCGAATTACCTCAAGCTTCTGTTTTAAAGCGAGCCTACCGTAAAATTCCGAAAATTACCCCCTCCATGTATAAGCCCTTCCAAATACAAGCCCCCCAAAATCGTAAAGCAAAAAACCCTTCGTTAAATTGCCCCTCCAAATATAAGCCCCCCGGGGGGCTTGTACTTGGAATTTGCCCACGAATACAAAGTAAAACAAAGCAAAAATTGTAAATTTCCTTCACACTACAAGCTAGCGCAATTGATTTTGAAGTGCAAATTTCCCTCCGTACATAAGCCCCTCTGAATATAGGCCCCTCCAAAAATAAGCCCCTCAAAAAGCGCCTTTGAAAAATGTAAACCCCAGGGCCTATTTTTGGAATTTTACGGTATTTGCAAAGCCATTGATATGAAAATGATTTTTTATTCTCATGCAAATATAACCCATTTTCAAAAGAAACGTTGTGCATTTGGCCTAATTTTGACAGTGAGAGTTTTTGGATCTTGAAAATGGCCAATTATTGCACTAGCAGTACTGTGTCATCCTTTGTCACTATTGGCAGATAGGAAAATGGCTGGGGTGGGAAGAGGAGAGGAAGGGTAACACTAAGACTACGCTTGAGGAAAACTAATACTTAGCAAGTGAAACCCCTAAGATAAGATCAAGACAACAGAAATGACATAGATTGTCTACAGACCCGGTATGAGACAATTGTGATGCTTTATTAATTTATACTGTAGTCCAGCTTTGGTGTGTCACATAAGTCATACCTGATGGGTGTGGTCATGTTTCATATCTTTCAGGCTATGGAAAAGAGAGTTCAGTACAGCTAAACAATTTGGACAGTGAAGGAATTTTAAAAGCAATGGAGAAACTTGTGGCATCAGGAACATCTGCATGAGCATCAGGAGATGATATCAATGATCTCTGCACTGTTCCTTAAAAAAGAGGAATAGAATTGTGTTGGAGTGCTTGCATTTTCATTAAGATTACTTTGTCTCCATGACACTGATTTGGTGAATTTGGTACCAAACTTGTGTTCTCTTAGTGCCAGTAATGTCAGAACTATTAAGTTTCATGTCCAGCATTTCATGTCAAATTATGTATGTATAATATTAAAAATTGTTTCGGTATTTTCTGTAGAATTGTAATTCTAAGAGAAAATTTTGATATTCATTTTAACTATTAATTTCCTGTGTTATATTTTCTTATATTTAAGAGTTTCTCTCCATTTTCTTTAAGATCATAATATTATGATGAAAATCTGGACAATGTGTGGTGTTTTAAAATGTGCATTAAAGCATGTTTATTTCTACTTGTCCCCTTATCCTTAAAAAAAGTTTTTTGGTAGTCCAAACCACAGCCTGTCCATGGACGTAATCTAACCCAAGTTAGTAATGTCTGTGAAACATTACTGGAAATGCATTTCAAATTTCCCATCCACCTGATTGGCAATTTGACAATGGCTTTTTTAACAGGCCAATCATGGCATGAACTCAAATCCTAGTACATAGGTGTGGACCATGAACAAGTATTTTGGCGCTGTTTCACTGACAGACTTAACCAGAACTTTAGTTCAGTCTGTGGCGCCAGCTATTCAAACCAGTGGCAAACATGAAACATTCAACAGTATAGGAACTGCATACTGTTTTGATGCCATTGAGAATTATCCATCAATAATAATCATAATGTCCAATAACTACAGGTTTAATGGTTAAGATAACAATATTCAATGGAATGATTACAGTCAGGTTTTTACCTTGTAAATAAGGGGTGGGATACTTTGAATAGCCATTATTAATAGTTCAGTTTTATCCTTCGCTCAATTTGGGAAAGAGGGAGTGGGGCTCTTTTCCTTCTGCCTCTTCCCCAGTTTTGTCTTGCCTGTTTGCTCCAGTTCTCTTCAGTCTTGCTGCAACTTCCTTAAAAGTGACTGCTGGCACGGCTTTGTCAAGTACTTTTTAAAAAGAACTGTCAGTCAACGATTGGTTGTCTACAGGCCATCATTTCAGCAAGCAGTTAGAAAATGGTCGTTGTGTTTTTGAAAAGGGGGAGGAGAATTGGTTTGGACAACAACAACAGCTACCTAAAGGACCTAAAGGTAAAAATAGCATACCGTATTTCCTCGAATGAGTGCCTCGGTGCCTCTTTCAAGTTTCATTTCAAAGGATGGCCACTTATTTGAAGGAGGGAGCTTATTACATCTCCTTTCAACAAACTAGAGAATGGTCTAGTTCTTCCAGGAAAGTTCATGACATTTACCAAGAGTGTGACAACAGGACAAAAATTGAAAGAAGAGGTAACGCACATAAAGGAACTCTGCAAGTGAATGGATTTAGTCTACTCTCTCTTAACGGACACCTCTGTAAACCTATAAGACTACCTATAAGACGGACACCTCTGTAAAATGGACACTCAAGATTTGGTCCCTGCCTTTCTTTACTCCCTTTATTTGACTCTCTGTAAGACGGACATCTCTCTAAGACGGACACATACTGCAGGTCCCCGAGGTGTCCGTCTCAGAAAGAGTTGACTGTACTGAAATAACTGGAAGTGACTTAACAGAAAAGAAACTATTCTTCTTTACTGATTCCACTGTAGTCAAGGCCTGAAAGGTTAAAAATAAAGTGGCCATACAATGTTTTCCCTAGTATCCCTACTATTTAAGGGGAGCGCTTATTTGATATCTGGCCTTGGGAGTTGGTGCTTATTTGGGGGAGGGCATTTATGAGAACATAGGCACTTATTCAAGGAAATAATAATGGTAATATTATTGTTGAGCTACAAGAAATCTACTCCCCCTTCTTTCAACTATAACCCATAGCACTGATCAGAAATTATTTTGACACAAATTATACAGGAATATGATTTCCAATGGATCTTTCATTAGCAACAACTTGAAACATAAAGTGAACTAAACAAGGACAAACTATCCTTCTCTGAGATAGATTTCAAGAAACAAATCCAAATGTTCATGTTGAATTTAACCTGAAAAACCAAAACCAGAAAATTGGTTTGGGAGTAGGCCACTTCTTACTAATACCATTGTCATAAATGTCCACAAAGGTCGCCCATCATTCCACAATAAGTCCTACAGTCCATTCCTTTGAATGAAATTCACTTTCACATGTCGAATAATAATTGTTTTAGCACCTGATCCTGCTTACTGCTGTAGTTTGAATAAGAGTGCTCAAGGCCATCATTCAGTAATTGACAGGGGTAGGGTGGGGCATCATGGATACCCACTGCAAGAAAAAGAGGGCCGAGGCGGAAAGTTGACCATCACTCAACATCTCATTTTGGCGCCTAAGAAAAGAGCCAACATTTCGTGATGCCACCACTGGTTTCCTTGCGAAATGACGTCTGACATCTGACGAACAAGTGCAGAAATTCCACACTGACGACGTGTCACTACCTAGATCTGCATAGTGCTACCCTGCAAGTAGAGGTTTCTCTCATGCATGGCTTTTAGCATTTACAAAGTCCTTCACGTTGCTTGTCAGTAGCGTAGTTGGTTTGTATACTTCCTATAGCCTGGGAACGAAGACATATTTCCAGTTGTCGCCTCTGTCCACCCAAAGGTGGAGAGAAGCAATGACTGGAATTACATTTGCACTCACACACTATGCTTCCGATTGGTTGAAGCAAATTTCCTATGCAGTATAACTAATCAGAGGCACTACTCAGTTCTGGGTTACTAGTGACACGTCATCAGTATGAAATTCCTGTGCATGTTCCACAGACGTCATTTGGTGGGGAAATCAGTGGTGGCATTGCAAATAGTCTGCTGTTTCCTTAGGCTACTATAATAATTTAAAGGGACACAGTCAGCTGATGCACATGCGCATTAGATACTATTTCTTAGCTGATTTGCATGTCACAAGACACATGCGTGAAACAGAAAGTGAGAAGCGTATCCGGAATACTCAAAACAAACCTTGTAGAGTTGAAAGCCCAAATCATGATTATAGACCCTAAGCCACATCAGTGTACACATTTTTTTTCTTTTGGGATTTTTTTTTTTATGGATTTGTCCAGGAATAGCCAAACATCAACGAATACTTCTGAATTTGATCATCAGTAGAGGTGAGAAATGACACGGAGTCGGCATGAATCATTGTTGAAGGTTCAAGGTCGAGAAAGCTAGACTTTCCAAACAAATGTAACCTTTTCCATCGATTTTCCAAATACATATAACGATTATTTGCTCGCCAATGTTATTGAATCATTTCTTTTGTTATTTTGGTAAATGAAAGCGATTTCTCCTGCCCGGCGCCTATGCGTTTCTCACCTCTTCTGTTCTTGTTCCTTTAGGTACTGTTTTTAACCAAATATGCTAAAATAATGTCATAGGATGAGTTAAAATTTGCTCAAAAAGAGGTTTTCTGTAAAAGAACAAGGAACGAATGAAACACTAGGCAAGACTGAAGCAGATTTCTATATGTATCCAACGCGTACATTTGATTTCGGGTTGAGGTAAACTCTTTTCAAACTGACAAAAGTAGTGTCCACGTCAGCGTGGTCCCATCGTTGACTGTGTCCCTTTAACGCATGCATCAAGGGTTTGTCTAAAAAGCCTCTCAGAGTTTTTGGACAAGAGAGTCAGGAAACCTTGGAAATTAAAGGCCTATTGGAAAATATTATAAACAACGTCCCTAATTCCTCTCTATTATTTCACATAATCAGGTTGCGCTAGAATTTTTTACCAAATGTATGGTACTAGGGAAGCTGTGTTTTGTCTGTATTTCTTGTATTCTGCCAAATGACCCCATCTTTTTAATCCTTGCTTCTCCAAAATAGGGATTCCACTAACTCTGGTCAGAAGATATATGACTAACATAGGAGAGATTATGCTCCAGTACTGGTGACCGGACATCACTGATGAAGCCGGAAGAAACAAACCAGACCACATCAGGATCTCTCCGAGGTAGTTTGGATGTCGGCACAAGCTCCACAAACCAGATGAAATCCATTTTCCTTTGTTTGCTGGGTCTGCACGGAACTGTGACTTCTGATAGTCAGAAACTGCCTCCAATACAAATCCAGTCAGCCAAAGTAACCATCCAAGATTATCCCTCCAGGTTAGCGCCTCATCTTTGTCAGAGGTATTCAATATCAAGGTTGGCAGCAGAGTCGACCATACCCAAACGCCTTGCACACTCCAGTAAATCCAAAAGAGTCCTGGACTCCCTCGAACTTTGTTGAAGCGACTGTCGCTTCCTTCGTGGAGAACTCTACGGAATAAAAACGTTCCTAAGCGAAGTGCCCAAATGCTTACGCAGCCAGACTGAATCAGCTGACGCAGGTAGACTTGAGAGTTTTTCTGCCGCCATCGAAGTGTGAGCGCAGTGAGAAATAGGAACGTGGAAGAACCAGCTAAATCGAAGAATTTCTCCGTTTTAAAAAAGGCTGCGACAGACCACAGAGCCCACTGGATGGCAAAGTCGATTGCAGCTGTAGTCAACAGAGGCCTTTGGGGAGCTGCGGAAAGAACATTTCCCATTTCGGTAGACTTGCAAAGCAAGGTCAATGATTAACAAACTTCGCGTGACAAAATCTGGGCTGTATGTGCTGAGCCTTCGATGCTTACCTGCTTCAAGAAAGACGTAAGGAAATGTATTTCCAGGACTTTTGCTACATTTTTCGGTTCCAGCGTGATTTCCCGACGGCCGAGTATCCTTGTTATATATAAAGTTTCAATTCGGGAAAAAAGGATGCTGCAATATTGGAGAATCCTCGATAATCCTTCCCTATGAATTTTCATTTACTTTTACATGAAGTACAAGTGTATGCCTTCTGTTACGAACATTTTAGTTGACACCCTGACCTCAGATAGTGTTTGTTACGTAATCTCACCGTGTTGACTACCTTTGAGGCAGCTTAAAAATGATGGAAAATATATTGTCTAGCCCTCTCTTCAGCGCGGCAGCTTTAGATTTTGGAATCCAGTGGGGTTTATGGCTGGTGGCCTCCATATTTCAAACCGAAAAGTTTTACGATTTGGCGGGTTCTTCCACGTTCATTCTGTTAACATGGCAGTCTCTTCGCAGAGGAAGAAAATTTTACATTCGCCAAGTTGTTCAATCGGGCTGTATCACCTTATGGGGGCTTCGATTAGGGCTGTACCTTTTCAGTCGGATCCTGCGAGATGGCAAAGACGCACGCTTTGACAAAGCTAAAGCAAATCCTGCAATTTTTTGGATATACTGGACTTTACAAGGCGTATGGGTGTGGGTGACTCTGTTGCCAACCCTTATACTGAACACCTCTACCAAAGATGAGAAGTTAACCTGGAAGGATTACTTAGGGTGGATCATTTGGCTGATTGGGTTCTTTTTCGAGGCAGTTGCCGACCGTCAGAAGTCACAGTTCCGCACAGATCCTTCTAACAAAGGGAAATGGATTTCATCTGGTTTGTGGAGCCTGAGCCGACACCCAAACTACTTCGGAGAGATCCTGATGTGGTCTGGTTTGTTCCTCCCGGCTTCATCCGTGATGACTGGTAATCAGTACTGGAGCGTGATCTCTCCCATATTTGTGGCTTATCTGTTGACGCGAGTGAGTGGTATTCCTCTTCTTGAACGGCAAGGTCTAAACAAATGGGGCCATCTTCCAGAGTACCAAAAATACCGTCAGAATACAGCTGTACTGATACCATATATCTGGTAAACCATAATTACACGTACTGTTCTGGACAAAAAGAAATAAACAATGTGAAAGAACTCATCAGGATCTGATTATTTAGGGATGATGATTACTGCATTGTAGATGATTCGCCCCAAGAATCTCCCTGTTTGGGTGTGGCTACTTTTATTTTGCACTCAACCTAAGTGAGGTCTCCGAGTCCTTATTAATATTATTTACAAAATTATTTCACGCATAGGTAGACATAGATTTCAGCCCTGGTCTAGTGGAAGCTATTTTAGTTTGAGCATTCATGCTAACTCCAGGTATGATATCTGCTCTTTCCTCTGTTTAGGTTTAAAAAGAGTTTTTTCGGTGTGTGTTTGTGTATGAGTAAAATCTGCTGGGGTGATTGCAGGTGTAAAAAAGTGGTTGTCTGCGTGAAGTTGGCTACTCAATGGATCATTTTGGTTTTGCATCTGAATGTGCTTCCCATAATGCCCAATTTAACCTCTGCAGACAAGAGAGCTTTAAAGGAGCTGTGTCACGAAATTCAGCCAAATTAGGAAATCACAAAATGCCCGTTAAATTAAGGGAAACAAAAATAACCGCTTAAAACTTTAAAGCAAGGTTAAAATAACATAACAGAAACAACAGATGTCACGGATGGGCAAAACTGAAGAAGATTGAAACGGATTGAAATTAGGATTTTTGAAAACTGTTTAGCCTAACAGTTTTACAAAGTTGACCCCTGCTGCTTGCAACTTCAAGAATAATGCTCAGAAGACATATTTGTTTGTCTCGGGTCTCTGATTTTGTCATTTACATGTAATTTCTTTGCTTACTTTAAGTTCCATAGTGATTGAGGGCGAGAAATTGGCAAAATTAAACAAAATGAACTGGACTGCCGTGACACAGCCCCTTTAAGTGATAGCAATCTGCAAATTTTGTTTTCTGAAATTTGCATTGATCAACACTCATGTAGCATTCACATCCTTTTAGCAAAGTTGGGAGTGGGGGGTCCATCTTGTCTGTGTTTAGTCACCCATTGAAATCTTACTTTATACTGTATTTGTCTTTTGCCAATGACCTAACTAGAGACCTCTGCATTCAGAACTTACTCATGTTCTGTTAAAGACAAGGTGGTGAACAAACACAGTTGTACCTTTCAAGACAATTATTGTCTTGGCAAAAATTCTTACCATCATTTAAAAAATCATAATAGGAGTAACAGCGTCATTTATACAAAGACAAAGGGGAAGGAGAGGGGAGGGAGTATGGACCCCTTTGAACCCTTCCTCAGGTACATACCTTTCCTAGTTTTTATTTGACAACTCTTAAAATGTTCCTTTAAGTTTTTATTCTCAAGACAAAGTGCTAGATTACACAAAAAGCATTTCCAGCCTTATGGTTGTAGATAGAGAAACAAGATAAGTGCTGTAGTTGAAGAATTTTGACATGATAAATATTGCATCTCAGATTCGTTAATAAAAGCCGCCCCTACACACAATAATTGAAAACTATCAAACTTCGCCACAATATAGCCTCAAATAACTGTAAATCATCTATTAAGCCCACTGGCCAGGAAAACATTTTTCCAAGCAAATATGGAAGTGGCAGAGAGGTCATGAGTAAGGAAAAAACAACCAGACTGGAATTGCACTGACCTTATTCCTGTTTTGGATGAGAGAAATGATCTCTGACTAGGAGATCTGAGCGACTGTACCATACTTTGATCATTACATGATGTAGTGTTTGGCAGTTTGCAGTCAATACTACTATTACTAATTTTTAATTATTCAATGCATTGGCAGGGGAAAAGGGAGGGGTGGTCTTAACCCCTTTTTGCCTGGGGGGATGGGGTACTTCCTTATAAGAGGCTAATGGGATGTGCCACTGGATGGAGTCACACATTTTCGGATTTTTTGAGGTAAGACAGTTTTTCATATTTACGGTTAGCAAATGTTCCAGAATGTTTGTAGTGTAGGTGAAAAGTTAAGTGAAGTGTTCTTCATTTAGTTTAAAAAAATGAGTCAATTCATAAAAATAGAAAGTGACTAAGTTGGGATGGCAAAAATTACATATTTGTCCAAAAGTGACTAAGATGGGGTCTATAAGAATAGACTATAAGGGGGTAAGGGCTCTGAGAGGCCAGTGGCACATACCAAGCAAAAATTTACCCAAGTACCCCCCGGGCCTTATTACTCCTAAACTGAGGAATAAATAGCAGATTTACAGTTACTTTCAGTAGGAACTTAGAATAGTTGACCTATAAATCGTTAACAGCTTTGTACACAATACAGTGGACCAACATCCTAATATTACCATTTTCATTCTACATTAACATTTCCAATATTTACAGCTAGTAAGTGTTCAAGCATAACAATAAATTATTTCCTGGATAACGATGCAAAGCCCAAAATATATCCTGTTACAAATAAATGCCTGGGTGTCTGTCATATCATTTCTAACAGCAGTTTTAAATAAATATTATTAGTGGTGAGAAGAAGACTTAAATACATTAACAACCCATGAGTAAGAACCCCCACGTTTCCAAGTTAGCGTAAACAGTTTCTTAGTAATTAAACGGTAATTAGTACAAATTTAGGCCATTTAGGTTCCTAATGAGGTTCTTATTTTCCGAAGGAAAAAAAAATACATTGCAGCCAATAGTATTAAGTGGTATTCAGCTTATTCCTCATATAAAATCTGCATAACAGCACATTGCAATTAGCGTGATAAGACACCTATGTCACAAATTGACTTACCTTATTTGTCCAAATGTATAGAATGTTGGTGAATAGATTTTAGAAAATAAGAACCTGTTTCAATTTTTAGGCTAAACAGGTTCTTGTGTTGTGTTTGCTGAGTGGCAAATATTATTTTAGTCTAACAGGTTCTTACTCGGGGGTTTTTACTGTACGACAGTTGACAGAACAAAAATAATAATACAACCAAAAAACCGCAGAACTGCCAGCAGATCTGCGAGGCAGATTCTCCCAACCAGTTTGACAGCAATAACATGGAAACAAGTAGGAAGAATATGGATTTTGACACTGGTAGTGTATGGTCGAAATTTGGTGAAGTTGTCTGCTTACATCCGTTAAATATACTTTATCTTTTACGTAACAAATTTTCCACAGTATTACCTTCAAGAAATTTTAGAAGTTGAGAAAATTACCTTAAAACTGCTTGCTTTTAACAGAAAACGTATGCTGAAAGAATAATTATTATTTACCAATGATCCCTTCCAAAGTATTAGGCTCTAAAATTCACACTATGGTTGTACAGCTACACTACTTTTTTTGTTTTTTTTTTCATCAATCTTTCCCTTTTGCTTAGCTAAACATTTACAAATTTCATTTGTTCCAAATACATTGTATGATGTAATTTATTTGCTTTTGGATGAAAGCAATCTGTATGTAAGAAAAATAACACTGCATGAAAATCACAGTGGGTTCCTTTATATTTTTTTCCTATTTTTATTCTCTCTTGTCTTTTTCTTCGCTGGACACTTGAACAATATTATTCCTGTGTCAGAGCATTATATTTTCATCCAAATTGTCTTCACTGGAAGAGTTTGCAGGGTCACCCACCATCTCTTCTTCCTGATCAGATCCACTTGGAGATTCACTACTAACAGACTGAACGTCGTCACGACGAAGCTTTGGAAGAATGCTTTGCTCTGGCCAGATCCATGGTTTATAGCTAGGAGCATGTTCAGCCTTCCATGCTTGATAATCAAGAGCAGCCTCATGAATATTCTTTATGACCTGGAAATTTAAAAAAGGAGAACTCTAGTTTAACTACCATTTAAGTGGACAAATCATGAGTTCAATACTAGAAAATTAATTTTAATGGTTTTTGCTATTCCATTTGAAAAACCTCAGAAAATACAGGCTGTCATTTGAGGCCACGCATTTCTCTCCTTTTTTCTCCCCTCAGCTGAACTAGCAGCCTTATGCATGTATTCTTTGTGACGATGGGTCCCTACCCACCTACAATTTCTCACTCACAAGGTTTTGGGCAGATTTGGTTGTTTGTTTGTTTTTGTTTTTCTGTCCAAATTTGTGATGGTTCAACATGGCGCCACAAACAGTGTTTATGGCAAAATTTCCATGGGCAAGAGGGTTAAAATAAAGTACAATTTACATCTTTTGCACCTGTTATAATTAATACATTGTAGAGAAGAATGAAAAATCAAACCCCAACCTCCAAAAAAGACAACCTCTAACCACCACTATTCAGGTACATTATTGTACAAATTTTGTACATGGCAAGCAGGCTGGCCACTTGAAGTCTCTGCTTGAGGTATTGAATATATCATTGATGCTTCTTTAACTTAGTACAGTGCAACCCCGTTAACACAGTCACCAATGGGCCAAGAAAATTGGCTGTATTAATGAGGGTTTTTTTAGAAGAAAATGTATGGCGGTGTTTGCCAGGTGGCCAAAAAAAGTGGCTGTAATAACGAGGTGACCCTATTACCGACGTGGCCGTAAGGCGGGGTTTCACTGTATAAAAATATTAAAATTAGGTCAAAATCAAAAAGTACAAGACATGATCAATACAATGTACCTTCGGAGCAATCTTTGTAGATGCTCGATTGACTAACCACTTTGGCAAATTTCCTAAAGAGACATGAAAGTAAAAACTAAAATACTTAGTTAACTAACATTTAAATTTTACATAACCTGAATGATGAAGTTTCAGGAATCTAAGGTGTTATGATAAAGCACCAACTCAAGCAGGGCCCAAAAATCCATGCTTAAATGTTGACAAAGGGTTTTTTTCATTTCTCTTCTTCATATGCAATACTTCCAATTTACGGCAGGAGTGTATTTTGTAGAACGTCGACTGGCCACCAAATGCCAACTGACTCTGAAGTTTAGCGATTACGGCTAGGAAACTGAGTGAACTAAGTTTCTGGTCAGTTTGCCCAGTATAACGACTCTAAATGGCACCTGTTTCACTCAGTTTCCTATTCTAATCACTAAACTTCAGAGTCATTCAGCGTTTGGCGACCATTCGGCATTCTGCAAAATACCCCTGCCATTAAATTCATACCTGTACATATCATTAAGGGACGATATGCCAAGGTGAAGGTAAAGAAAAATAAGAACAATCTTGAACAATATTAAAGCTGCATTACCTTTTAAATCCACTTGAGATACATAAGTAAGAGACAATCCTTCACCCTTTTTTTGGACATAATAACCACTAAGAATTGATGAACCACGAATAAAACCTTTCTGTAATGGTGCGCTCTGTAACAAAAACAAAAATCACTGAAATTGCTGACACTAATGACAAAACTAGCCCAAACAATTTAAAAAGAAAAGAGCTGCATTTTTCTTGTAAGTGATCAGCTCTAGTTACAGCCACCTTTGTGAAACCCCATTTGAACTCTAAATTAAACTTCATAATGAAAAGCTCTTGTAAGCAACTGCAGCGGTAAGCGACCACGACCACTTTTGGGATTACCCAATTGAACTTTTCCTTTAATTTTAAGCTCTCGTAAGCAACCACCCAGTCTTATTCATATGAATCAACACTTTCATGAAGCTGCAAATTGCACTACACATTGTGTTAATTAAGATCTTGTACAGTGCAGAATTGTACATGTATTTGTTTAAGTTCAATATAGTTCAGATATAAAGACACTCATTAAATATTTATTTCTTTTGTTTTTTCTTTGTGAATTATAAATCAGTTTCTCAAGCTCTTGTAAGCGACCACTCTCTCGTTTTACCATGCAGTCACTTATGAGAGCTCATTCTCATAAGCCACCAGCTCTAGTTATGACCACTTTTTCAAATTTCCGAGGTGTCCCTTACCAGAGCTTCGACTGTAGTTATAATAATTTTATCAGGCTCACGTTGTGCGTTCTAAGTTGGGGCAAATGGCAGCATAATTGTGTGTTCTCTTTGCCATTATTTCTCTACATTNCATTAAGGGACGATATGCCAAGGTGAAGGTAAAGAAAAATAAGAGCAATCTTGAACAATATTAAAGCTGCATTACCTTTTAAATCCACTTGAGATACATAAGTAAGAGACAATCCTTCACCCTTTTTTTGGACATAATAACCACTAAGAATTGATGAACCACGAATAAAACCTTTCTGTAATGGTGCGCTCTGTAACAAAAACAAAAATCACTGAAATTGCTGACACTAATGACAAAACTAGCCCAAACAATTTAAAAAGAAAAGAGCTGCATTTTTCTTGTAAGTGATCAGCTCTAGTTACAGCCACCTTTGTGAAACCCCATTTGAACTCTAAATTAAACTTCATAATGAAAAGCTCTTGTAAGCAACTGCAGCGGTAAGCGACCACGACCACTTTTGGGATTACCCAATTGAACTTTTCCTTTAATTTTAAGCTCTCGTAAGCAACCACCCAGTCTTATTCATATGAATCAACACTTTCATGAAGCTGCAAATTGCACTACACATTGTGTTAATTAACATCTTGTACAGTGCAGAATTGTACATGTATTTGTTAAAGTTCAATATAGTTCAGATATAAAGACACTCATTAAATATTTATTTCTTTTGTTTTTTCTTTGTGAATTATAAATCAGTTTCTCAAGCTCTTGTAAGCGACCACTCTCTCGTTTTACCATGCAGTCACTTATGAGAGCTCATTCTCATAAGTCACCAGCTCTAGTTATGACCACTTTTTCAAATTTCCGAGGTGTCCCTTACCAGAGCTTCGACTGTAGTTATAATAATTTTATCAGGCTCACGTTGTGCGTTCTAAGTTGGGGCAAATGGCAGCATAATTGTGTGTTCTCTTTGCCATTATTTCTCTACATTATTTTCGTCCCCCATATTACCTATTACGTACTCAGCAAGGAGAGCCTACTTTTTGACAATATGTAACTATACTACTGTGCAAACAATAGCATAACATTGACTAATGAGGCTAGTTTCTTCTGATTAGAAGTAAACAGCTGATTGGCTAATTCCCATATATTCTCTGAGATGTGGAATGAAATGGAGAGGAGAAGTCATTACGTCATGTTGCCATGGTAGCAAAATGCTGGGATGACAACAAACCCATAAAGTCACTTAAAAGTCTATTTGCACTACTTCAAACTTCACCAATCTTATTCAATTTCATTTAATTTGGCAAATCTTGGCGAAATTTTCTTTGGGACCATATCTATCGTTGTCTAAGTTTAAAAAGTTTAAAAAAAGACGCGACAATTTTTGTGTTGTGTTCACCTACTCCATAAAGCGGGCTCATGAAATTAGGAAGTTTCACATCGTAGTGGTGCAAAGAAATGTACAAAATAGTGTAATGCACATGCAAAGTTGTTGTTTGTTAATATGAACATATTATTTTTTGCCGTTCTCCTTGCCGTCGCCGTTGGTTTTGATTGTTACTTTGTCATCCAAAAATAGTGCTACCATGGTAATGTGACGTCACACTTCTCCTCTCTATTGTTTGTTTTACATTGACTGCAGGCAATTGGAGGACTGCTGGACTTCGCCATCCATTTTTCAAGACATCAAATAAGGAAATCAGTACGTGTATCTTGCATTCTCATGGGTAGCCTGTGAGCAAGCTCTCCGGGGCACTCTAGGGGCAGAGTGGGAAAAGGAAGGAGAGCTTGAAACTACATCTCTGGAATTTGAATATCTGCATCAAAAAAGTCAATGCGAAAATATGCTGATTGACGGAGATGACATTAATAATGACGTCATTACCCCTGGCAAGTGTTTCTCAATGTTTGCTTACATTCGCACTCATTTCCACTTTGTGCTGATTGGCAGAAATCTGACAGCCCAGTCCACAGGGAGCCACAAGGGAATTGGAGGTGGAATTCAAATTCTAGAGGTGTAGTTGAAAGCTTTCCTTCCTTTTCCTGCCCCACCGACAGAGTGCCACGGAGAGCTTGCTCACAGGCTATTCCATTGGTTACATTTTTGGCCTCAATTTATTGTGAAGATTACTGCAAGTCTACAATGGCCAAATTAATTTACATTTCATCTCCACCTAGATGAGATAAGGATAACCAAAACTGGTTTGTGCGTGGCCTTGTGCAGGAGGTTCTGAGTTAAATTGATTCCCTCATGTGACCTCAAAATCCTTGTGTCGTCTTCTATATTTACCATGTAGCCTTAAGTTGCTTTAAATATCTGTAAAATGGAGCCCTGATAAAGAAGAGGGGGGGGGAGCGGCCTCAGGTTTGTCATTCTAATGAGTACTGGTACAAGTTACAAACATTGAATGAGGACCATTACGTTTACAAAGATCAACCTTTCCCTCAAATATCCTAATACTACTACATTTTTTAACTAGCACAGTATGTTATCTAAATTTGTTTCTTTCATACCTTGTGATGCACGGAATGGTTAAAGATAATGAAGTTGTCATCTTTCCAAGACCATGACCTCTGGGTCACAAAATCTCTGTTTTTCATTGGTTTTGGACACTTGACTGGTATATAAAAAAGCATCATAATGATTAAATTAAACACAACACACCACTACACAAAGACATCACTAATCAAATTATGCTCATTTACAAGCTAATGTTTGAGAAATAAGGCTGCTTGACATCAAGTGCATTTTTGATCTGCAAACTTTATCACAATAGCTCAAGCCTGCTTAATTTCTTCAAGGTTGGTGAATGTTCCTTGAATTAAACTGTCATACATCAACTGGACTACAACGTACAATATCTAAGTTTAAGAACAACAGAAAGGAAAATTTGCCTAAGTTTATAAACTTGAGTCCTCCATAATTACTTCACATAAAAGAGCGTAACTCTGTAATCGTCTGCACAGAGATGATGCAGAGATGACAGAGAAATGTACAAAAAGTGTGAAACATGTGCAAAGTTACTGACTATTGCTCATTAAACCTTTTGCTTTTTTGACACTGTTGATGTGGTCATAGTCATCGCTGCAAAAACTGCCCCTATGTTGCCCCTTGTAAGGGGGACGTTGCACCAGAGCTGACTTAAAGTAATAAAGGTCAACTTACTGGAATAATATCCTATATCATTACATCTGTCTAGCTGGCAAATTTCGTAGCAATCAAACATGTTTTCATCCCAGCATCTTCTGTAGTCTCCATCATGGAGGACATCATACATCAACGAACAAGAAACATCATTAAATTTGGTTACAACCTAAAAGGAAAACAGACCATTGGATGACATTCCACTTTTACAGTACGACATAAAGCTGTAAGGGAGGGCAGGCTATTTTGCTGGGGGAAGTCATTTAATTTAATAAAAGTAGACTTACGAAGCAGTCAGGAGCACAACCCTCCAAGTTGTGAACATTTTAGTTGCCATGGTGCCTAAAATTTTGAAGCTGGCGACTTGATTTGTAAAAAAGTCTCCCTAAACCAAAAGAATTGGTCGCCAATGGCAACCAAGCAAAAACTTTAACTTTGAGGGTTGGAGCGTGAATTGAAATAACTGAATGTAAAAAAGGTAAAGGTGCACATGAGCCAAAGGCCCAAATGGCCAGAGCTTATCTGGGGTTTCCTTAGCATGAAGCATCATATTGCCTACTCCCCCCTGGATGGGACGCTAGTCAATCACAGGGTTACCCCCCAGCAGTATGTTGTCGTTACCCATTTATACTCCTGGGTGAGGAGAGACAAAGTGAAGCGAAGCTCCTTGTATAAGGAAACAATGCAATGGGCGAGGCTTGTTGATCTCCACTTACCCTATGATATGAGTTTTCAGTACTATAATTCTCATGACTTTCACTATAATCATTGTATAAACGAATATCTTTCTGACAAAGGCTTTTCTGCTTTGCACTGCAATATTAGGAACCTGTCAGCTAACTTTGATAATTTGCAACATATGCTGTCTGAGTTATATTTGCCTTTCTCAATAGTGAGTCTCACAGAGATTAAGCTTAAAGTTGACCAAAGTTTTTTCCCATTATCGAAATTCCAGGTTATTCATTTACTTTTCAACCCAGTCTTTTAAATGCTGGAGGAGTTGGAGTTGACAACATTTTTCTTTAATTCTTTGGAACATCTCACCTGAAGTGGGAATATTGTTTATGATCTTACTGATCATCTACCTAATTTCCTTATTGTTAAAAAATTCACTTCTTTACCTAAAAATGTTAAGATCTACAAGAGAGATTATTCTAATTTTGATGTATCTGCTCTAATTTAAGAAATCCACTCAGTTGACTTGAAAGGTGTATTGCATGCCAAACCAGATCCTAATGTAATGTTTGACTCCTTTTACACTAGGATCTCTGACATAATTGATGTTCATATCCCTCTCATACAAATCTGTATAACGTGAATTAAGAATGAAATCTAAGCCATGGATAACCACTGCTTTAAGGGTCTCAATCAACAATAAGTATGTTTCAACTAAATCTGTATTTCACGAGCATTCTAGTCTAATTTTCAAACACTTAAATATTGTTAATCTGCCTAACCTTGTCTAGATCTTTCTTAATATCAAAGTCTTTGTGTATAAATTTCTCAATAGATGTCTACCATCTGTGTTTGATACTTCGTTCACACAAGTCAATAAAAGACATAACTATAATACAAGGAGTGCCTCGGATACGTTCTACACTTTACCTAAAGTAAGAAAAAACTATGGAATATTTAACATAATATTTAAGGACCCATAGTATGGAACTCAACTTGCGAAAATTTGAAAACCTTCTCTACTTTAAACTTCAAGGAATCAGTAAAAAGTGATCTTGTCAAAGATTTTTAGTTACTTGTATCCTTATATTTAGCAGTTGTGTCGTTTCCCAAATAACCTGTAAATTAGTCTTTTGTTAAATTCTGTCACCTTTTCAAGTTCTTCTAAAATTAATGTTTTGCATTCACATATAAATTTGACTATTTTAGACTTCCTTCATAGCATAGAAATAGCATTTTCCCTCTTCCCTCTTTATTTTCTTTTTCTTTTTTTCTTTTTACACTATGTGTACATTTGTGCTTAAGTTTTCTTACTGACCTGTAATTTAATTTTATTTACAGCTGATGTCAACTGGCTGCCTGGCTCTGCTAGTCCCCATGGTTAATCCAGGCAGCCAGTACTCTAATTTTTACTTTCAATATTTTCATTGTCGTAATTATTATTTTTGGGCAAGAGTCAGTGCAAATAAAGATTGCTGTTGTTAGACGATTCAGGCTCTCATCACATCTTCACCACTTTTGCTGTTGGTTTAAGGGAACGCGTCCAAATATCGGCATCGGGTCACGCCGGTGCCGATCAATCGGGTGCCGATTTTTTCCGATTCCGTTTTCAGTCGGTACCGATATTATCGGTACCGATTGAAACGGAATCGGCACCGTTCAAAATTCTTCATCGGGCCAATTAACAGAATTCATCAAATCTTGACTTATATCTGTCAGCGTTTGTCAAAGGGTTGAAATCGTCGGTCACGCTACGTTACTGACAAAAATTATATAGGGCAATGTTTATGTCAACAAAAGCAAAGCGTGAATGATTGAGTTTTCAATGCACAAACAGGCTGGGTAAGACCAAGTGTTTATCGCCGTATTGTATCTTGTCTTTCTGAAATGTGTATTGTTTCAAAAAAAATTAGCGACAAATGCCTTCATCGAAGAGTTCTTATGGAAGACAATACCAGACAAGATGAAGAATTTTTGTATCGAGCATCTTTAAGCGAAAGATAGCGCGCTGAATGCATTTACGACCTTAGAATCCAAAACGCGTGATTGAAGAATCCTTGCTGGAGGAATTTTAAAATCGTTTAGCCAAGAAAATAGGGGACAGAATACTGTCAGATCAGGCATTCATGACATTGCGTGTACAGGAGCGAACTTGAACCGGCTAGAATCAGGCAAGTTGTTTATTTGCTTGTAAACTTCTCTCGTCGAGTCAAACTCACTGGATCTTTCATTGTTACGTTGATTGCACATTCCGTTGACGCTCCGAATTTTTTAAAAGAAACAACTAATTTTTCGCTCTTTTCTGAAACGAGATAAAACAAAGCTTTCTATAAAATGTATTAACTCGAGTTAAAGAAAGGAAAGAAAACTGCTTTTAACGATCCGGCTTGCGACGTGCGATACGTATTGGATACGTAGGCAGAAGCAACTTGAAAACGCCGTTCCCTATATTTTCAGCTCATCAGAAGTGAATTGAATTATGATAAACTTTTAATTGCAAGTGAAACAAAATACAAAATACAAAACTAGCTTGAAAGCAATGTTTACAAGTTATAGTTATACAGGTGACAACTACAAGTTTGAATAAGCTTTGTAAATAAACAGCAAGTTAGTACACTTATTTTATATATAATCTATTATAAGAATGTTGTTTTACCGGCCTACGCTGAATATTCTTATTGTTCTGTCGGTTTTCAGTTTGGCCGCTAGGCAGTCACGAATTTTTATGAGAGGTTTCGAAATATGACTCGCTCTACATTTTGTTAGAACAGCGTGGAAAAGTTTGTAAGCAATTACCGATCGGCTGACAGAAAACAAATCGTCGAACAGCCTTGTAGACATCTTCGAACCAACTTATAAGGCGAAAAAACATCTACTGAAGTATTGTTATAATTATTTTACTATTGAGAACAAAGCAAGTTTTAAAGACTGTTTTGTTGAGTGAAATGACTCTTTCATTATTTGGTTTCGTGACATGTTTGCAGAATCACATATCCTTATCAGATGAATGTGATACCCCATTATCCACATCGGAATGTTTCTGGCTCCGATTGAATCGGCAAAGTTTTTATCATTATCGGAAACAGCAACTAGTGCCTACAGATAAGTACCGATTCCGATCAATCGGAAAATTAATCAGGTCCGTTTCCCATGATCGGGTTGCCTACCAATATTTGGACGCGTTCCCTAAGAGGCTAGAAGCTAAATTCCAAAAATGCTAGAAAGTTTTTCATCACTGTCATCGATTTTTGGGTACTTGGTACTTAGGAAAAACACAGCTGAACACGTCATCATGAAAATAATCTTTATTTACGCACGGGCATGTGTAGAATAAAGATTTTGTTCATAGTGTCTCAAATTATAGGACTTATGTAGGGCAAGCACGTGCACTATGTTATAATCATAGTTTCAACAGCCGTGAGGTGGGGGACACTTTTACAACAGGTAAAATTTACCAGGGGTCATTTCCAAAAAGCCTCAATAATGTGAAGGTTGGTTTGAAAATTTTCTAAGCTTTTTCCACATGCCCTTCCCCCCACAGCTAATAAACGAACAGACCCCTTGGTTGCATCCCTGCCAAGTGCACATTTTTTCAACAACAAGAAACAAAGTCCTCCAATCACCTACAACCACAACACTATCTTACAAGTAAGGCTCACATCCATTCTAGACCGCTTAGCTTCCTAATAACATCAACAAGCAGTCAAAATATTGAGATCAATATCAAAGTGACTAAGCAGACCTTACACATGAGAACAAAACCAAAACGGTTTTAAAAGTCCCTGGGAAGAGAGTAGTTAGCAAGTAGTGAATAAGGCTGAGTAGGATATGAAGAATTGTGCAGATCAAGGAGAGGAGGGTGTTGTCCACCGAGGCCATTTGAAGGCCAAGGTGGATAACACCCTCCGAGATCTGCATAATTCTTTATATCCTACAAAAGCTGAATTGCTTTATCATACATTGAAAATAATTCCTAGTTTAAAAACAAGCTAAAACATGGCTACCTTCATCAACGTTAAGTTCACCTCGATTGTGCATGTTTAGAAGATAAAGGGCTATTCAGGTCTGCAAATAATACTCCAAATAGCAGATGTTGTCCGTCGAGTTGTCTTCTTGCTATGTTTTTAGACTATAGTTCGTTGTGAAACGAGTTAAATGGTCCGCTGACTGTTCAGCCATTTTTCTTTTCACAACCAAAACAACTCAACCTCCTTCCCAGGTCTTCTCGGTTGATGGTGCATTAACCTGCAACTGTGCCGCAGTTTGACGTCATCAGTTGATTATTAAGGTGATTCCCTAGTAAAAGAACCTAACATAGATTGTAGATGAAACTTGGTACACTGATGTAACAAGTCAAGAAGATGATAAAAAAGTAATAAAAAGTGGGGGTCACCGCGCTCGTTTTGACGTCACAATGCTGACAAATACGGCTATTTAGGACCCTTTTACAAAAACCGCGGGCAGCCCAAAACTAGACAAAAAGGAGAGATTTTGTC